CACCATTCATTTTATATGAGGAAGTTGTGCTATACAAATCATATCATTCCTACTAAATTCCCACACCCAGCCACATACATTAAACACAATGGCTTCTGGCTTTGCTGACTTCCTGCTGCAGTTGTTTGGATAAAGACCTTAATAAGCAAATACATAAATAATACGATTAGGACACTACACTACTTTGGCCATTTGTTATGTTTTTATTGCTTGTCTTCCTCTAAGATCCTGATTGACCATCATTTCCCCTGCAATACCTTTTAACCTGTCATTTTTTCAATATATTTGTGCATAAACTGAATTAATTGCCAGCTGAGGTTTCCTTTTTCATTTTCCATGACACAGAATGCCTCACATTAAAGGCTTATATTAAGTGCTGTTTCTCACAACGCTTCTCACGAAACAATAACAGTTCCTCTTCAAAAGAGTGCAGTTTGTCTGTTGATTTAATCAGCTGCTAAAAATGGCAGGGCTCAATCCTCAAAGATCATTCCCTCTCTAGGTATGTACCTCTGTGATACCTTTTTGTGTTGCTCTCAAAAGGGAAATAGAGTTCAGAAAAGATCCTCCTTCAATGAAAACTCTCAGAATCACCTGGGAAGGATTCTGGGAGTTGTGATCTAAAAAAGTAACTTTCCTGACCTCTGACTAAGGGCCTGTCAAGACTGGCCATTTTGGTGCAGGCTGGATTGGACTAGAAAGGGTTGGTTGAGATCGAGCAGGGGGAGCAATGTGCCATTTCATGTGCTCCTCCTGTCCAAACAGCAAATAACCTGGAAAGGTTATTTTTGAATAACACAATTCCCAGAATCTGCCAGCAAATATCAGCACTGGCTCTTCTTAAGCTTCTACCATGCCTCCCAACAAGGAATGTTCTGGACCGACCCAGAAAGCAGTCTAAAGATTTTCCTTTCATTGCTCACAGTGGGAACAAAATGTTGCAGGGTCTTGAATTTCTTGGGTAAATTCCTCTAGTTGAGCTGCAGAAGTGCAGATCAGAATAGCTTCAAGTTCCCCAGATTAGTCCACTCCTTTTCTCTCATGAGCTGGCATTTATAGTCTCAATAACTTAAACATTAGTAAGAAAGAATGTGAGTATTTCATTTATTTACAGTTGAACAGATCTATAGCAAAACTAACAGACATGACTGCTCTCAGCAATAGGCTTCAACAGACTCATTGACTGCTTCAGATTACAGAGAGGGAAAAAGTCACACAGAGTAGAGAGGCAGGGCTCTCTTTGAAACCAGAGGCAGGAGAGAATGATTGGTTACTGCTGGATAGATTGACAGTCACAGAAAGGTCTCTCCCAGCCAAACCTACGAGAGGCAGTATGCAAGGTTGCAAAAACTCAAAAACAAATTAGGCTATCCCACCCCAGCTCCCAAAATGAGAAAAAAAAGGAGTGGTAAATACTTTGTCTGTCTTTCTTTTGCCCTGCCAGCAGGAATCCAGCAGTTGTGTAGGAAATGTCACACTACTCTGACCTACCTACAAGGTATAGGATTCCCCCTTCCCATGGATCTAAAAAAAAGTCTGAGAAAATAAAAAGTGCATTGCCCGGCCTTAAAGTGACCACAGAGCAATTTCCACAGGAGGCTTACTAGAAAATGGGTTCTACAGCTAGGTTTCCACTCCAGAAAGGGCCTTCTTACTGATCTGTTACACTCGTCTGTAGGACTGGGAGTTTAACATAATACATCTTCGTATTATGAATTTGAATTGAAATGCATTCTTTTCATCCTTATTATTATGACAGCCACAATGCAGCTTTGCACCATGAAGGCTAAGTTCTAAATCACTGGTTAAGGCCCAACTCCAAGTGCTGTTCCCAGCTAGAGCGCACTCGCTGAATCAACTGCTGAATGGTAAACGATTCAATAGATTTAGTAGTTGAATTTAGACACCAGTTTTAAAACTGGATTCCCATCTCCTGCATACTGGTGGAGATTTTGGGCAGGAGTTAGACATCATTTACACCTGCGGGATTCCCATCTCCTGCATACTGGTGGAGAGTTAGACATCATTTACACCTGTGTGACTCCTTCACTCTCTAGCAGTTTATCAGTTTATTTGCTTATATATAAAAGAAGCAAATAAACTGCTAGAGAGTGAAGGAGTCATTCTCTCCCACTGGCAGTGATTTCTCAGGTAGAGATTTTACCAAGAGATTTCCATCACCCATCTGACAGCTTTATGTGGGATCCTATTACTGTATTAAAAGGAACATATTACTGTTATATACACTTTGAAATCACTAGAGGTCACTGATGGTCTGCATATAACAAAAGCAAAAATGAAATAAAACCTCCAGCAACTTAACAGATTTAGGTCTTGGCCACGCGTAGCAATACACCTGGTTTTGCGTTGGGTTTAGCACATTTGAAATTGATTTTGAAATATCCACCTATATGAGATACAACTACGCATGCTCTGTTTTTTTGGTCAGAAAGTGAGGATTTAAAAAAAAACCTGAAGCAGTTTCTTATTTTAACCTGAATATGAATGTGATTCATTTTTAATCATTTTGACATGTGTGAATGCCTTTGTCAGAGTAAATAGTGTCTGTGGGGTTCTGTGAGATTTGCTGAAATGGGTGCCAAGTGCCAGATCCTGCAGTCTGAACTCTTCCTTCCTACTATCCACTTTTATTTTTATCACTTTTATTTTTATTCAACAGGGTAGCCAAACTCTTGCTTCAGTGTGAACTTCTATGGATTGCAACTTCGTCAGACACATGGAATATAGTTTTGAAGGCATAGATGTACATCTACAATATACTGTACATGTCTGTGGGAGTAGAGCATGAAATGGGCTACAGATGACTGCATTGCTAGAAATGAAGAACTCTTAAATTGATGTGTACACATGCATTCTGGAAATAGGCAGAGGGCAGAGCTAATGTCAAACAACTGTAGGCCAATACACAAGAAAAGTGTTTTGTCTTGGAAACGTCAAAGCAACACATTCTGTTCTCAGGAAAAAGTTGGTTGTGCTGAGGCCAACATTTTGCCCGAGAAAACATTTTATGGTTGTTGTGGGTTTTTCGGGCTCTTTGGCCGTGTTCTGAAGGTTGTTCTTCCTGACGTTTTGCCAGTCTCTGCGGCCGGCATCTTCAGAGGACAGGAGTAGGAACTCTGTCCATGCTCTGTTGGTGTTAGGGGCCGGCATCTTCAGAGGACAAGAGTAGGAACTCTGTCCATGCTGTGTTGGTGTTAGGAGACAAAAGCCATTCCCACAGCTATGAATACTATCCAACAAACAGCAACAGAGCATGGACAGAGTTCCTACTCCAGTCCTCTGAAGATGCTGGCCACAGAGACTGGCAAAACGTCAGGAAGAACAACCTTCAGAACACGGCCAAAGAGCCCGAAAAACCCACAACAACCATTAGATCCCAGCCGTGAAAGCCTTCGCAAATACATAAAACATTTTATTTTTGCTAGCTATGACTGGTGGAAACCAGCTTTAATATATGTAGCCTGCTAAGCAAGTCCAATCACTGTTTAAGTTTCTAGCTGTACACTGGAAGTTATGGGTGTCGTTCGCCCATCTCCCTCTCAGAACTCCCTTTGAAATTCCATTTTTCTGCAGCAGGTGTTTGGATAACTAGATTCTGTGTATAAAATCTGATTTGTGTTCATTTACAAAAAGATTTTCCTGTTTGCCCTATGTTGGACATAGAGTGCCAGTAGTTATTTAAGACTGCCATCTTCTATATTCCATTTCACTTGATCCTCAATCTGTGACCGGGTATGCTGTGTAAATTAATCTAGATTTCTGGTTTACTCCGTGTGTTTCAAGAAGTGGGTTGTGATCTACAGAAGTATAAACTCATGTACGGTTTGTAGTCTTAAATACACCATTATACCTTGCTTATTTATTTCTGATTATACATGTCTACTTCCCTGAAAATGGATGCTGTTAAATATAAGCTTTGTCAGAGTCCTTTAGAATTAAAAAACAATGCAAGTGTTCATCCAGTATGTTTGCATCAGTGTGCAGACCCCCGCCTGACTGGAATTGGTAGCAAACCTCCGAGTTGAATGCTGGTACACTGGTTGTTTAATTATTTAATATGCCCACAGAATGCCCCCATAATATCCAGCACAGGAAACAGCAAAACTGATTATATAATCACTGTATTTAAATTTCTCCCTTATTATTGCTGTAAATATTTTCTCAAGTTGGGAATCTACTCTGAGTATTAGCTGGAGCTTCAAAGGAGCTCTCCCAGGTGCTGAAGCCATTGGGGGTAGATGGCCCTATTGTTAGCCTGACTGAGGGGGCTACCTCAGAAAGTCAGGCACTGTCTTTGGATTTGCTAAGCCCGCCCCCCCCAGCCTGCACTTACAGAGTCCATGCTTCCTCACAGAACTGCTGCTGCTCTGCACAGCTGGCTTACAGCTTTGGCCACAAGGGCCACCTTTTCCTCTTCCATCCAAAGAGGAATGAATAAAGAGGCAGCAGTGGCAGCAGGAGGTTTTTAAAAAAAAGGCCTCAGCTAGTGCAGCACCTCTCCATCTCTTGGCACATGCAAATGAATACTGAGCTGCAAGGCATCCTGAAGCCAGTCAGTGTGGGGGAGGTGTCTTAGAAAATCACCAGTTCAGGACTCTTCAAGAACCCGCGCAGTTCGGCATCCAACTGTAAGGAGACAATGCTGGATAGGAGCACAAGTTTCTGGAGAGGCTGGTATCACCACCACCACCACCACCATTGTCATTGTCTGCCACCATTATCCAGGTTTCTTTCCCCCTCGCCTCCAATGTGCAGCAGCATGGCTACTGCCACACCCGTATCCCATTCCAGAAGAAGGGACTTCCCCTCCTCCTCCTTGTCTTTCTCTCTCTCTGATTTTTGGATTACCGGGAAGGCACTGCTTCCTCCCTTTTTTTTCACGAGCAACGGGGAGAGGCAACTGCTGAAGAGCTCGGGCCACTCATGCCTTCCAGAAGGTCATATTTTCACCACTGGGGCTGGTTCTTCCTTAACTACATGGTGGAGCTGTAAGGAATATTTCTCAAGATTAGAATAGCGGGTTCCAAGGATTTCCAACCCAGTCTTTTGTGGCACTGGGTCTGGGCAGCCTGTTATCAAAGTTAAAAAAAATGTGAGGAAGATAGGGACTGAAAAACATGGGCTATTCCTCTTCAAACTTTGCCCAAGGTCAGTCATCACTGGAGAAGAAAAAAACCAAGTCAAGCTGCTAACACGGTGATACGGCTTTTATTGTCCCACTGTCTGGGCAAGCAGGATCTTGCACATGGCAGAGTTGGCTTTGTGTAAAGGGAGCTCACGTCCAGGAATGGTGGCCCGTTTCCCTTTTTGAATAGTCAGGCTATGGTTTGTAGACGATTCAGATACTGTGAAGATCTCTCTGGCAGAAGAGGACGGGAAGATTAAAAAGAAAAACAAAACACAGAGAGATATGAAAGCCTGGCATTTAGAATCAGTCGGATGGTGTCAGCTTAGCCAAAGACCAAAAATGTCTGCTTCTTTGCAGAAAAATCTCCTTATGCCCTCTAGGGGGAAGGAAGGCAATCTTGCCATACAGTATTTTAAGAAGCCCCAGTAATCTTGGGGACCCACATCTCCCATGCAAGAAAATTAAAATACTGGTGGTCACTAGAAGGCGCGAGGAGCTTTTTCAAATTAAAAAAATAATAATCCAATTTTTGCTTTGAAAGAAGAGACGGGGGAAAGGACCCAATCCCTCTTTCCGCCTCATGCCAGTTCCCAACCTGCAAGTGATATTTGTTTCGCATCCCTGAAGTGCATGGAAGCCTTTCTCTGGGGACAAGGTTGTCTTTCATCCCAGCAAAGGGCCCTTGCTTTTAAGCTTGAATTAGCCCTGGGAACCCTGCCAAGGGTATCAACCTCTGATGTCATGCAGAAACACAGAAACCAGCTCTGGGTCTATTTATGTCAAGAGGCATCCATGAAAGATTTATCAGCACAATCACAAGGGAGCAATGAGGTTCTCTCTAGTGGGAAATCAATCTTGGCACAAGATGCAGCCGTTACAGTGCCACAGAAAGGGATTTATCACTATAGCACTGCAAGAGATAAGCTGGCCTTTTGTTGTGGTGAGTGGGGCTCCTTTTATGGTCCTTTGCTGGCGTTGCCCAAAGCTTTCCATTAACCTCCAGGTGACCTTCTGTGGCTCTAAGAGCACCTGTTGGAGTTCAGACAGTGGGCAATGGATTTGTTACTTCTTATTTACCAACAAGTAGGGTGATAAATAATTGTCTCTCTGAAGTTAAAGGCTCTTTTAGCATTACTTTGCTCATTGTTTTTGCACTCCATGCTGAACTCCCGCTACGATTCCATCAGAGCATAAATTGGTCCCAAGGATTTGGGACAGATTCTACTCCTAACAACATTAAGAGCAGCAAACAAAGTGTGCAGATGGGGCATCAGTGTGCCCAGCTCAGTCATTTTATTCTTTTTAAAATGTTGTTTTGTTTTACTTGACTTCCATCTCAACTTTCTCCGAAATAATGGTTAACAATAATAAAACAGAAAAACGAATATAGGTGTTCCATCCGCTGTATTTGGATGGATAACTGGTGGTCTGTGGGTGGCATGTAGACCCTCCCAATCCCAAACATGCCCCCCCACACTCCCAGACCCTTCCTGCCCTTCAACATTTACAGAATTATTTTTTAAATAAGAAATTTGGCTCACAAAATCTCTTTGTGTTCTCTGAAGATGGGACTTATATTTCCCCATGTTCTGAAACACATACACACACCTCATTTTTTGAAAATGTGCTGCTCCTCAAGGGCACAAGGGATTATTTCCAGTTTATACAAACCGGAACAAAAATAAGGAGGGGGGGCATGGGAGCAGAGGGAGCTGTCCAAGATCCAGGGGTGGGCACTCGCTGCCTCCAGGCCTCTGGCAGTTGCCCAGCCCTGCACCACACACTCAAGGGCAAACTGCAGTCCGTTCAAGCTGTCTCGTGAGAATAACTGTGGGTACATGTGTTTTCAAACACCAGTGTGTTGAATTGCACACCTAATATTGTTAGGTATTTACAGTAGTAGGACGTATACATGGGGGATTGGTTCCAAGTCTTCCTTGCAGATACTGAGAAACGCGGGTTATAGTGAGCACTGTTTTAATAGTGAATGCTAGACATAGCATGGTCCTTGCCTCCCTCTAGTTGCCAGTTGTGGTAATGACATTGTGGAGATAAATTTCTCTAAGATGTGCTATACATAGTGTCGTCTCTGGCTTCCTCTAGTTGCAGCTTCATCTTTAGAAATATATTTTTCTAGGATTTGTCTTTTAATACTTTTAATATTTTCAAACTGTGGATAAGTGAATCAGTGGATACTGATCTTGCACATAAGAGGGCCCTACTGTACACTTAAAAACAAATGCTATTTATGAAGTAGTTCTCTGTGGAGGCTCTTTCAAAGACATATTTACCACCAAGGTGGCATTTCATTCTTATTCTCTTCATCATGTGAAAAAGCTAAGGTGAAGTTGGCCTCATAAGTCCCCTTGAAGGAGGAAGGAAAAATGTGTCAGCTGAGCTGATGTGCCCCATCTTGCCACAAGTCTATGGCAGTGATTTCACCTTGCTGCCACCACAATGTGGCAGAGCCAGGGAGGCTGATCTCCTTTCCGGCCCAGGCATTTCAGCAATGGAATAACGCGCTCCTTTTTCTTGCAATCCTCCAAGCGGAACGGGGACAATGAAATCTGAAAAGTAGCACTAAGCCAGGGATGACCAATTGTATGCTTCAAACTGTATACTGCAGTGAGCAAGCACAAAAGGCAGTTTTGTATTATATCTAAATTATATTCCCCTCTCCACTGTGTTGGTTCTGTGATAGCTCTTCTGCATAACATTGTGATGGCTATGATGTTCATGCATGCTTAAAGGTGCACAACTAGCCCATGCGTGTGGCCATAGTTTGAGACAGTACTCATTCTAGGATCTCCTGTGTACAAGCCAGGATGACTCATGAGAAAGCTATGAGTTGTAAAAGCTGCTGAAATGTATAAGATAATCTTGGGTTATATCCTAGGGCTAAGAAAGATGTCGTTCTTGACTTGAGAATTGTCACTTACCTGTAAGAGACCTGATCCTCTGTAAGCTGGAGACACATGAGCACAGGACTATCAAAAAATTTGGCAACGGTATTAAAACTGGTGGCCATTTCTGCCTCTGTTTGGCTTTTCACTGTGGCTTGATAGAATGGGGTGTCCAATTCCGCTTGGAAATCAATGGTCAAGGCACCTCTGTAATTGGGGAAAGAATGAACACAAGCAATGCTTTCCAAGAATGTTGACTGGGCATCCTCGGCCATGATCAGCTACGCCATAGCTGCTATGGGACTTTGGGGTTTGCTGGGCATCGTGTTCTCCTTGAAGAATGTGAGAAGAACTATGAGCCTCGTGGCGCAGTGGTTAAACCGCTGTACTGCAGCCAAAACTGTGCTCACGACCTGGGGTTCAATCCCAGGTAGTGGCTCAAGGTTGACTCAGCCTTCTATCCTTCCGAGGTCGGTAAAATGAGTACCCAGCTTGCTGGGGGGGGGGCAATATGTAGCCTGCATAATTAACTTGTAAACCGCCCAGAGAGTGCGGTATATAAGCACCACACTTTGCTTTGCTTTATGATGGCTAGTCTAGGATCCTAGATATGACAGTGGCTGGCAGATGCTTATAGGAAGTCTACAAGAAAGAAATGAGCACACCGGCCATCTCCCATGGTTGTTTCATAACAACTGGTGTTCACAGGGCAGAGGTACAATACCTCTGAGTCTGGAGACTACCTACAGCCACCAGGATTACCAATCAGCAAAACCCTATGCTGAGATGGTAGAAGTTAAGCTAAGGTGACTTGAGTTGGATACTAATTGTGTAAGATGAGACCCAGGGCAACACAAGGACAGAATATCCATTAATTTGGACATCCTGCCAACCTAGTTGTGATTAATAGTGCTAAACTTTATTATCTCTAGATCATTTGTGAGGTGCCTGCCATTCCATTCATTGAATTGGCTATAAAAGACAGTCTGATAGCAGAGGGTGAAATGTCATGGATATCCTTAGAATGTTAAGTTCTTTCTGTGTGAGAGGGTTGAAATTGCTTGGTAAAATCTTATCTTCTCTCTGGTGTGTCTAGCTCTATAGAATGGCTTTAGTTTATCTATATTAGTGGAAAGTTGCTCTAATTCTAGCTGAGGTGTGAGAGCTAGCATGGGGTAGTAAACAGAATGTTGAGCTAAGACTCAGGTCCTGCATTCAAATTGCCACTCAGCCATGGAAGCTGACTTTGAGGTAGTGATGGCTAACTATTACTACTAACTATTCACATGCCTCAAAAAAAATCCAGTTATGGTCAGAAGCAATATTATGGCCCAGAACACACAGCTGAGGTGTGGAGGAACAAAGGGCCAGATCATTGGAAGGTTACTTTTTTTTCGGAATATAGTCTGCGGAATTCCACAGTTATCATGGGAGATTCTGGGAACTCTAGTCCAAACTCCAGAGTAACTTTTCAAACCTCTGGTAAGTGCTGAGTCTCACGCATCACCTTCCACTGTTTCCCTCCTATTTTACTGCGTACACGGCCTATTTTCAATGGTTGGACCCCACTGAAACACTGAACAAAGATTTCCCCTCCACACAACTACCTTGAATGTGTTCTGCTGCGTTGTTCTGCAGCATGTTTTCGGTGTTGAATTAGATTTCTCTCTTGTTCAAACTGATCCCCGAGAGCAATCAAATAAACAAAGCAAAGCAAGGCAGTCGTTAAACAGCACTCATCCTTGGCAAGAGAGGAAACTACACAAATGTCCTCGTGGCCTGTGGCCAGCATTGCTCAGGGACTCTGATTTCATTATACAGGATGCAACGGGGGGAAAAAACCAAAATGAAACATAAGGAGGCCTTGTTCCTGGCTTCTTTGAGCTGGTGAATTAAAGAGCCTTCCTGATACGGAGAAAGGTCTGACAGTGGTATATTTGAAATGTTCATTACACTTGGGCAATATCCAAAGTCTGTGACAAATCAGGCCTCCGTTAGACTGGTTCCAATGCTTCGTGAGGCTTCCCTTCAAAATGACTCAGACTGAAGCTGAATCCTACATGAAACCTCACTGACATGTCTTTTAGATTTGGTTTCCATGAAGCCACTGAGGAAGGAGGGGAAGAGGGAGGGAGCGACGGAGATGAGTAACTGATAGGTCTGCCTTCTAGCCCCATGTTCCCCATGGGCTCCCCAATTCCTGTACTTTGGGGAGGTCTGTTATTCGGATCATTACAGTTGTTTCCTTCCCCTTTTGCTCAGGTGTTCTACAGCAAACGTGGGCAACTTCCAGAGTTTGTGGAGCTTCATGTACTCATCTCTGTACCCTAGAGTTGTGTTCCCCAACCTTGGACCTCCAGAAGTTCTTGGACTACAACTCCCAGAAGCCTTCACCACCACTTCTGCTAGCCAGGATTTCTGGGAGTTGAAGTCCAAGAACATCTGGAGGCTCAAGGTTGGGGACCACTGCCCTAGAGGACCTCCCCTATTCTTCTTTTTTCTTTTCCTACTAAAAACGCCCCCATCATGGTCTCCATTGGTCCATATCAAGGTTGGGGACCACTGCCCTAGAGGACTTCCCCTATTCTTTTTTCTTTTCCTACTAAAAATGCCCCCATCATGGTCTTCGTTGGTCCATAATTTTAATTATAAGTTTTAATAAAGAGAGTGTTTGAGCCCCCACAAACATAACAGAATGTACTTCCTAAAAGGCACAAGGCGGGGATTTTAGTTGTTGTTTTAATTAACATTATTTCCTGGGTAAGAGGACGGGGAGGGGTGGGAAGAGCAGGACTAAGGGGCAACATTTGCTGCATGCAGCTCATGGTTTGCCATCCACCGACCTGTTTTCTACATCAAGCAATAAGTGTTTCAGTGTCAACTTCTGTGTCCTTCCCTTTCTCCTTCTCAGATATTTTTAATCTAACTTTCTCAATCTTCTAGCATTGAATTCTTTTATTCATGACTGTACCTTTATCTTTACTACCATTTTACTTTCTTAGTCTTTGGGATGTGTCTTTGTTTATGGGTATGTTTGGTGTTTCTATCTGTTCACTGTGCAGGACTAGCCAGTGAATCCATCCTTCTTTCTCCTAGTTAGGAAAATAAAGTATTTGAAATCAGATAGGTATGTATGTATGAACTTTTATTACCATATTATATTAATATTATTTCCTTTTTTGTCAGGGTGTGTCTTGATTTGCTTTTTTCTTTTGCAAAATGAAATCAGAGGTTTTAGATTCCCTTTTTAAAATCCGTGCTTCTGTCACTAGTTTAATATTATTTTTCCCCATTAACCCATCATTACAATGATTGCTATTAAATTCTAACATTTTCATTATTTCCCAACTTGTCTCGTGAAATTTCTTCCTCAATAAATTCCCCATTAATGCATTTCAATGCATTGATCATTGTTTAAAAGAGAAACTGAAAAGGAAAAACACAGTATCATGTATGTTCTTTCCTGTTCGTATAAAACAAAACTATGCTAAGTTAGAAAAAAACCTCTGATAAGTGTGACTTTCATTTTTTAAAACCAAAGGCAAATTCCCACTAGCCACATCTCGTAAGTTCTCTGTGACACAGCAAAGTTTGCATGCCGGTAGGACTTTCCTGCCCCATCCTTGCTGCACTGGCACAAAACAAGATTTGAAAGACTAGGAAACAAACAAGAAAAAACTTTTAATGTTGCTTTTATGTAGCTGCTGCCTTTAAGAAAACAAGCTTGAAACTAGTTCATTCTCCTTTTGTTCCAAGAATTCCCATCATCCAATTTTTAGCTTATATTTTTTGTTTTCACTGAGGGAGGGAAATAGAGATACATACCTTGTTTTGATACCTGTTTTGAATTCCTGCTCCCACAAATTCATATTGATATCAGCAGAAACATCCAAGCCAAGCCCTCCTTGAAGAGTAATTATGGTTTGGAAACCAGATTGAAGTGGGATTGCCTACACGGCACAGTAATAATCAATTATTCAGAGTTAACCCTGACAATACACCTACGAATATTATGAATAGTGTGGTCTTACACATTCTTATTCAAATCAAGTTCTGCCTGAGTTCAGTGGGGCTTACTTTAAGGCAAGTGAGTACAGGAATCCCATTTTCTCCATAAAATCCATTTGTATAGACCATGGCACTATTCATTACACAAAATTAAAACTGCTTTTTCATTCATCACTTGTCTTCCGTTAAATCTGTCTCCCTCAATCAGATGCTCTTCTGTTATGCTGAACTTTTAGTCCCATCATCCCTACTCAACCTGTTGGCATGCTGGCTGGGGATGATGGGAGATGTAGCCTAGCCCATCTGAAGGATACTTGGTTGTGGAAGGCTACTCTAAACCTTATAGGTCAGGTTCCATTCTTAATACAGCAAATAAATACCAGTTAAACAACAGAACCCAATTAAATTACATAATATGTCACACAGTGCATGTCTTCCAAGAGTGGAAATTCATCACCACTTTTAGAATAAAATAGGAGGCTAGAATAATCAAGTCTCCTATGACAGGAAGTTCTACCAATATGAATCTACAACAAAATATGTCCCACTCTTTATAGCCACTAAATATGGTAGCTCGCAGAAAACTGATTCAAGGATAAAGATTTAAGGGTAAGCAGCAAAGCCTCTCACTAGAACGTAAAATGGCTAAACTGAGGTAATTGTACTTTCAGTGTTATCACAAGAAGACAAGATCTGCTAGAAAAGACAACAATGCAAAGAAAGTTGAAAGTAGTAGAAAAAGAAGAAAATTGAACATGAGATGGATTGACTGCATAAGGTGGGTGACACCTAAACAGGTCTATTAATGACAGGACATTCTGGACATCATGAATTCATAGAAGTGACTTGATGGCATATAACAAAGCAAACATAAAGAAACTCATAAAGGAGGAAATGTTCCTATAAATTATATTCCCAGTGCCCACTGGCAACTGGAAAGTTTATTCAGCCACACCCTGTTGCCATTCAAGAAGTGACTAGTAAAGGGTAAAGGGTCCCCTTGACAATTTTTGTCCAGTCGTGTTCAACTCTAGGGGGCGGTGCTCATCCCCATTTCCAAGCCATAGAGCCAGCGTTTGTCCAAAGACAATCTTCCGTGGTCACGTGGCCAGTGCGACTTAGACACGGAACGCTGTTACCTTCCCACCAAGGCGGTCCCTATTGATCTACTTGCATTTGCATGCTTTCGAACCACTAGGTTGGCAGGAGCTGGGACAAAGCGACGGGCGCTCACTCCATCGCGTGGATTCGATCTTACGACTGCTTGGGCTTCTGACCCTGCAGCACAGGCTTCTGCGGTTTAGCCCGCAGCGCCACCATGTCCCTAGCGTGGTGACTATGTAGTCAATATTTCTAGACCAGCCTCACTCAACTTATTGCCTTCTAGACTTAGAGGATTTCAGTGCTCATGGATTAGGGAAGCTGTAGTCCAGTATGTTGAAAGGTCACCAGGTCAGTGAATGCTGCCTCATGCTGCTCTCGCCAATCACCCTAATGTCTCAATTTGCCAACTTTACAATCTTTGAGATTTTCAGTTATAATAGTTCAACAGCCTTAAGAGGAACAATGTTTGGCTCAAAAACTGGCTTACACCCCTCACAAAATCATCTCGTTGCTCTGCTCAATGCCATCAGCATCTATAGCTAACGGAGGAGGCCTACCTGTTGATGATCCATCAGGAGCACATTCCCTTTGATGACACTTGTAGGTTCTAAGGAGCTCATAAGGACCTTTGACATGAGGTCTGCATAACCTTCAAAGAAAGCCACCGGCCGCAACTGGACATCAAGCAAAACTGCAGACATGCCAGCCATGAAGTCCTCTTCCTCATCACCTGGGTTACCTCCCATGAAACCTTCAAACCCCTTTGCTTCAATGGCTACCTAGAACACACACATAAGGGCAACGTAATGCACAAAGCTACCTTCCTCCTCCTGTAACAGTGGACCACCATTTCAGAACATTTAGCTCTTTGCATGTAACTTTCTTCTCCTTGTATAAATCCTACTTCCAAACTGCCAGCAGCAGATTCTTCTGTCTCAGGAAAGGGAGAAGGACACAGCTTGCTTTGTGCATCCAAATAGCTTTTGGAAAGAAACACAGCTGTCTTCCAAACTGGTCCCCTCCAGAGGTTTTGGGCTACAGTTCCCATTATCCTGAACCACTGGCTGTGCCAGATAGAACTGTTGCGTTCTGTAGTCCAAAAGAGCAGATACACACTGGGCTCATTCCAGACAATGTCGCAGCTGATTTATGTTCTGTTAATCTAAGCAGGAGAATTAAGCACATACTTTAAACTCCTTAATGCTGGCTAGGTGATATTTAGAGCTGAACTTGACAGTACAGTTCACACATCATTAGAAGTACAGCTCCCATCAGAGGTAAAAGACTATCTGTTTATTCAAATACAAGCTTGCCTCAGTCATTAAACAATGCAGATTTATCACATCTCTGGTTTTGAAAGATTTGTATCTGGAGAGGAAACACTGTGAGAGGAGGAAATATGCATTTCCTTTGACATGAGAGCTGACTCCTAGAGTATCTGTTCATTGCATTATCGGTTGGATCATTGACAGCAATTCAAGGGCATTTGGGGACATCTCAGAGCCACCTTTGTGGGAAGAGTCGACCATTTCATGGAATCTTGGAATAGATGGAGATTACTTTAAAGGAAAATTAAAGTTGCTCATAGTAGCTATCAGGAATTATCTCTAAAGCCAAATTAAAGTTGCTCATAGTAGCTATCAGGAATTATCTCTAAAGAGAAGCTGGGAAAAAGTCTTTAGAATGGTCTTAGACAACAATAGGAGAACAAAATACAAGCAGATAAAGAGAAGAAAGGTGAAGACCTGAGCTGCTTGGAGTTGGTGGCCATGACTTAGGATATTGAAGCTGGTGGTGCTTTTTCTCAGGATACCCACGTCTGAGAACAGCAGCTCCAGACCAAATGTAGAAAGTGAGTCACTGGTGACTGAAAGAGAGAGAAAAGAGACGTCTGTATGAAAGCCTATCAGGTATCTTTGCAAACACACACAAACACACACATACATGGACAGAAATTAATGAACTCATTTTTAAACACTTTCATACACAAAGGATAATATATAGGAATAGCCTGAAATTGTTCTGGAAGATGAATAATATGAAATGTCAAGGGGAATCTTTACTAATACCTTGTACCTTCATTGAAAAACATTGTGTTTGAGAGGAAAAAAGAGGCGAAGTCAATCTTCCTGTCTTTCATGTTTGGACTGTGATAGGTCATTCTCATGGAAGTCAATATTTGATGCTGCAGCCATCAAGCGATTAACACGATGTGTAACCCCACCACCACCACCACCACTCAGTACCTCAGATTAACACGATGTGTAACCCCACCACCACTACCACCACCACTTAAGTACCTCGGAGCCCTTCACTTTAAAGAGCGATCTTGAACAACAGTAGTTCTACTCAAGTCCCTTAGCAAAGGGGTCAGACCCCTATAAGGTTCATGGGATGCTGCCCCCTCTATAGCAGCTGTGCATGCAGTGCATCGGTCTGCAAAGAGGAAGCTGATGTGCGGACAACTATATCTGTCTAGGCCACTGCTTTCCAGGTGGACACACAACATACAAAGGTGCAGGGGGTGCATGTGGCACTGAGGGTGAGATTATGTGGTGTGACCCCAATCATGCACTGAAATCAGCGAGTACAGTAATGCCCAAACAGGACTAATGTCTAGAGCAAGTACTGTAAATGAGTCACTTTAGGCTTGTAGAAGGAAATATTCACAAGTTCTAAAGGTCTGCTATTGCTTAAATCCGATATTATCTTCCAAAAAAAGCAGTATATTTTAAGAATATTTATTGTGCTTTCTTTTTACTGTATATATAGCTATTTTATGCCTCATGTGAGCAGAGGCAGCTTATGTGACTTTCAGCAAGCAGCAGAGTGCCTCAGCACCTCCAGAAGAAGGGAATGGTAAACCACGTCTGAGTAGTGGCTCATGGATCATCATCATCATCATCATCATCATCATCATCATCCCATATAAAGTGAATCACCAACTCTCCCTCTAATCCCCCATTTCAGCCATACTTTATTTGAAACAGGTTACCTGCAAGCTGGATAAGCAACAGGATGGAAAGCCTTTCATAACAAAAAAAAAGCCCCTCTGCTGGGTGACATCATCACCCTTCAGCAAACACAAGTTATGCAATAGGATTTAGTCCTAAGTATCCCTCAGTGTGCAGTGCTGGAGAACTGACCAGAAATACTGATATTCTTGAAGATGCCCTTGTCTTCAAGCAGCATCTCTAAATAATTAGGAGGAAAGGCTATCAAGATGGCTGACATTTATTGGATTTAGATCTTTGAATTATGTCCGTCTGTGTGCACATGCACCGATGTGTCTGGGATTAAACAACACACAACTGTGGTATTCAGATACTCTAGTATACCTTTATACCCAATTGCCGAATGAAGCCTTTTCTGTGTAAAGGACTATACATTTATTTTTCCAGGAAAGTAGCGATGTCAGTCAATTGCAACAAAAATAACACAAGAGTCCTGTGGCACCTTTTAACACTAACTGGTTTTATTTGGCATCAGCTCTTGTGGGCTGCAGTCCAGGATATATTTGAATATATCTGAATATATCTGCAGTCCAGGATATATCTGACTGAGCCACAGTCCTTGAAAGCTGATGCCAAACAAAAGGCCAGGGTTCTTCAGTTTTTCTAAGGGAAGATTTAAAAGGATCATATAAACAACAGTTACCTGCCAGTGGTCCAGAGAAGGAAATGGAGCTGCCAGCTTCAGAGGAGAGGAAGAAGTAATTATTTATTTGTGGATCTTTCAGAACATCTTTGATAAGCTGCCTGGGGGGTGGGGGACACAGGAGGGAATGATGTCAAAATGGAAATGGACCAGAAAACGGATGCAGACCAATTGCGCTGACGTGTGAGGCTGGCTCCTCTGAGAAAGGAGGGCTGCCATTTTGAGAGGATTCATTTCCACATTTTAAGAAACAGTAAATGCTGAGAAGGGGGCACAGTTCTCTTGTCCCCACCCTTATCCCTTTCTGAATTCAGAAAGTATGTCAGGACACCATCTGGAAAGTAGGAACAAAAAGAGGTTGAGAACACCAGAGAAAAGAGACCCTCTTGTGGCTAGCATCATCCAACGACCTCCCTCCCTCCCTCCCTGGCACCCTTGTTCTCTCGGTCACCATACTAAAGCCATGTGCCTAGTAGTCAGATCTGCTGATTCCTGAGCTTCTCCTCAGGACTTCGCCACCGTTTGTAGGGCAGAAGAGGTGACGAGCAGGCAGATCGCGATGAAGGTTGCCTGCTTGCACGTGGGCTGTCCCCTCCGCTGAGTGAACAGGCTAAATAAATGAAACTTACACTTGATAGAATTGTAGAGATGAAAGCATTCCCCAGAGCCATTTAGTCTAACCCCCCCTCTGTCATATTCCATTCAATATTACTAACACAAGTATTTCAGTCACATATTCAGTTCAGTCATAACGCTAATAATAATCAACCAAAGTATGCAAATGGAAGCAATTACAATGTGATTACCATGAAGGCAATAACAAAAGAATAAACTAAACACCAAAAGCATAAATTAAAGCATACATTAATACATAAATTAATTAAGAACTGCTGGATAGCTCAGTGGCTTAGGCATGTGGCTGCAGGCCCAGAGGCTGGGAGTTGGATTCCCCGCTGTGCCTCCTTGGCAGGGGCAGAACTTGATGATCCATTGGGTCCCTTCCAGCTCTGCAATTCTAACACTATTAAGATTATTAAGCAAAGGAAGAAATATACAAAATGAAGTGAATGTAAGGGTGGCCCAACACCTCTGTCTCCCCAGTACAACTACCTTAAGAGCAAATGCTGTGGAGTCTTATTAGGTATCTTAGCTACAAACCCCCAATCTCATATCCCCCTTTAAATGTATGACAAAATTTTGTGTCCATTTGTTAGTATTTGGAGCTGCTCCATTTGTCAGGAGCAATCAGAAACCCTCCGTTCTGCTTCTAAAAACAGGGAACTTTTGATAATGAACAGGGTCTAACTCTGATTTATGATTCTGGCTTGTTTGCAAATGCATAACTAAAACTAACCAAGGTTTCCCTGGGTGCGAGCTGAAAAAGAGAGAAGAGAACTAGTGAGTTTGCAAGGCATTTCCTGGACATAAAGCTAAAAGCAATGTTAAGCACTGATTTAAATGGAATTTGTTTTCAGAAACTGTTTATGACAAGGCTCAAGTTTAGACTAAACTTACTGTCATGAAGAGCTAATCCTATCAGACAGTTTAGAAGGGTGTATAGGTAAAGGTTCTGCTTGACAATTTGTCCAGACGTGTCCGACTCTAGGGCGCGGTGCTCATCCCCGTTTCCAAGCTGGAGAGCTAGCGTTTGTCCAAAGACAGTTTCCGTGGTCACGTGGCCAGCGCGACTAGACACGGAATGCTGTTACCTTCCCACCGAGGTGGTCCTTATTTATCTACTTGCATTTACATGCCTTTGAACTGCTAGGTTGGCGGGAGCTGGGACACGTGACGGGAGCTCACTCCATCTCATGGATTCGATCTTACAACTGCTGGTCTTCTGACCTTGCAGCACAGAGGCTTCTGTGGTTTAACCTGCAGCACCACCATGTTCCTTTTAGAAGGGTGTATAGTTTATGCTTATATTTTTGGTTACTATTATCAAATGAGACAGGTAACATCAGATTACTTGGGAAGATATATCAGAACATTTTCTTTGGGAAATTTTGCAGGAGAAGATGTGAAGCTACACAAAAGTAACACTGGACAGATTTGTGCAGGAGAAGATGTGAAGCTACACCAAAGTAACACTGGATAGCATTTAAAGGTAAATGTATGATGTCCTGATGATGGCAATGATGGTGATGGTGTTGACTGTGATGACGATGTAGGACAAGGATATTTTTACCTGGTTGGATGATGACGGGAGTGTACAATGCCTTGAATTTTTGACAATAGAAATCTTGACATTTCTGGTTCAAGTTCTCTTGTGGCCAACACAACATTGATGAAGTCCATTGGGGAGGGATTGTTCTCCAGCAGGATTTCTGCAGCAGCCAGCCTTGAGGTTTTCTGGTACTGTCTTCGGGTTTGATGGAAAATGTGTTTCATTGCCATTTTAACCTGGAGCCAGAATACAGACACTGAACACACATTTGAAATACTAATTTAAGTTAAGATTAGAAATCAACAAAAGATTATTCTAAGGCAAAACACTTTTACTGTGAATTGCAAGTTTTACATGTGAGACAGACTAGTGCCCTCCTGCTAGTTAGGATTACAACTTCCAGCATTCAAGACCATAATGACAGGAGCTGATGGGAGTTGAAATCCAAACTATCAAGAGAGCAGCAGGTTGGGGAAGGCTAGTATAGAGGGTTTCCACTTAGTAAAGAATAGTCAGTCATACGAAGGCCTGTATTTTGAGTTGCATAATCTTGGGACTATGCCAAATGCTTT